CATGTTAATACATGTACTAGTTAGGAAAATTTAAAAACTTAAATTTGGACATGTTTTGCAAAAAGTGTAGGGAAAATGTAAAACGGCTATAACTTTTGCATACGATGCCAGAAAAAAACGTATAATATATCAAAATATTCAGCATGAAAATCCGCATCCGATTTTGATAGCCTACGACTTGTTTGGAAATTTTTAGAATCCTCAAATTCTAAAAGGAAAAAAAGTTATGCTCAAATTTCATTTTTTTTCATTTTTGGTTAAATCTGGTCAAACTATGGTCAAACTACTTATTCAACAAGTATTAGTGTTACTAAATAATTATTCAATAATATTAGTGTTACTATATAATTATTACAATTTTTTTGAATTTTGGTCAAATTTGGTCAAACTGTGGTCAAACTATGGTCAAACAATGGTCAAACTACTTATTCAAGAAATATTAGTGTTACTAAATAATTATTTCAGTTTTTTTGAATTTTGGTCAAATCTGGTCAAACTATGGTCAAACAATGGTCAAACTACTTATTCAATAAATATTAGTGTTACTAAATAATTATTTCAGTTTTTTTTGAATTTTGGTCAAATCTGGTCAAATTGTGGTCAAACTGTGGTCAAACTACTTATTCAAGAAATATTAGTGTTATTAAATAATTATTGTTTTTTAAAACAATAGTTTCAAACTCAAACAGTGAAATGTGTGACTTCATGGTCAAGCTAAATTCCTGAGGGTTAATAGGATTGACATCTTACTATTATCAAGAAAACAACAAGTGCAGACTTGGAAACGAGGGAGAATAAAATCCGGAAGTTAAGCGTGCTTAGGCTGGGGTAGTGAGAGGATGGGTGACCGTCCGGGAAGTTAGATGATTTGGAATGATGAGGGGTGATTAGAGATTAGAGGTTAAAATAATTCAGAAATTTGAAAATAAAAAAAATCATTTTTTAAAAAAAAATCATAAAATTTCCTTTAGTCCCGGTTCCAGAACAGGGACTAAAGGCTCTTATGAATCGGGACAATAAGCCCTTTTTCTACTAGTGCAATGCTATGACTACATCAAACCAGAAGAAACCCCTATGAACACGTGAGCTTTCCTTCGTGCTTATTTTGAGCGTTTCCTGTGAGGCTTGAAAATATGTCTTGCAACATCCAACTCTAACAAACCGTCAAGTAGACAACTTGGGCCATCACAAATTTTTGTGTGGAAACTAGTGCTTTATTTTAGTTTAATAACCTAAAAGACTACGATCTACGTGTTCAGCACGTAATTGAACGATATGTGACAATCTGCTCCCTTACTTCAATCTGTTACTACCTCAGAATGTTCCTTTTGTTCTAAGTACAGTACAGCAATTACTTACTGTTTTCTTCTTTTGGTCCTGCAGGAACCTTGCACTTGTAAGGGCTGATATTTCGAAGCTCCCTTTTGCTTCAAGTTCAATTGATGCCATTCATGCTGGAGCCGCTATCCACTGTTGGCCATCCCCTTCAAATGCGGTATAGTCCCTGTCTTCTTTGCACTTTTTTGATTCAATATTGTACTATTAAAACTGGTGTCTTCGGAATTACTATTTTATTCGCCAGAGTCCACTGAACAATTAGCCAATCCAGAAAGCTTAAACCACTTTGGGCATTACATGAGAAATAATGTTCTCTATTTCTGTTAACTATTGATTGCTGAATGCGTCTATAAACTCAACCACAACAGTTTTGTGCTTAGTTAGTTTGCTTTCAACAGCTTTGTGGAGGAACAGGGCATCTGACCTGTGTACCTATCTTTTTGTCATATGAACTTATTTATCACCATGATATTTCCCACTGCTGTTTGAAAACCAGATAGCTGAAATCAGCCGTGTGCTGAAGCCCGGTGGTGTATTTGTAGCGACAACTTTCTTATCCACCCCCACGAACAGCGGCCTGTTCTCTATCGATGCACTAAAGCCACTGAAACAGGTAAAAGAAGTCATCGATCGTCTAGCGCTACTTACTTATTTTCTGCGTGGCAGAGGTTACCTAGCCTGATGCACCTTCGCTGCTATGTGCTCCAGATTGTCGGGCCAGTGAACAGCAGCTACAACTTCTTCACGGAAGGAGAGCTGGAAGACCTGTGCAGATCCTGTGGCCTGGTCAGCTGAGTATCACATCCAGACTTTCTTTGTATAGCCAGCCACGGTGTATATATAGCTGTGTTTTTTTACGGGTATATGTATAGCTTTTACGATTAAATCAGGTGGTGAGAATGTAGCTCAAACACACATTAGGCAATTGAACCAAAATGCATAGTCTCTGACTCTGATGAACAATAGTAGCATTTCCTCAGGTTCAGGCATTGAGCAGAAGTTTTACACCTGAACAATTGTGTTGTTTCTGCACCATTGTGCTGAACTATAAACCTTTTATGGTATCCATTTCTAATTAAGCTTAATAACGACCTGAACGTCTATTAAAATCTTCAAGGGTACAGACTGAATTGCTTTCTAGAGAAGATCAAGAGGGATGTATCCTGGCTCCATTTTTTGCAGAATGGAGGAAACCCAAGAGAGCATCAGTGCAAACAATCAGACCGGCTGAGTGACAGGATAGAGTCATCAACCAAAAATTTTCTCAGGATCCACAACAGACCACACCATACAACAGCAAGAAAGAAAGTATCCTAGCTACTACTCAGCCTGCTGGCTGGCCTCAGGGTACAAGCAGCCATTCCGGCATCTCACAATGGCTTAAGGTACAAGCAGAATGGTGAATAAACCTGCTGCTTGGAGGCAGCGGCACTGAGCTTCTTCAGGTTGAGGTGTGTCACAGGTGCTCGATTCGAGCTATCAACTGCATTATTCCTCGAGCGGAGTGAGTGAGACTGCTTAAAGCAGTGTGTGTAAATGTGCATATCCATTCACCATTCATATCATAAGACCATAAGCTTCCAGCAAAATGTGCAATGGTGTTAAATGAAAGGTCAAGCTAATTACAGCACTGTAGCAAAACCGGCAAGCCAACAGGTCGGAGGAGCGAGCGCTATTCCCATTCATGGGGAAGTTAGGCAGTAGAAGCTGCTCCACTTCAATCTACTCTCTACTCACGGCACACTTAATATGACAGCCTATGCTTCACAGTTCTACTAGAAAAATAACAGAACTCTTGTTGCGGGGTCACTACTACACCAAAAGTACTGTTTGATGTTCCGTGTAGCATTCACGAGTGCAACTTCATTTTCGAGGGTAATCAGCTGCTAGCCTCTTGATCTTTTTGATGCAATCCTTATCTAGACGAGGCGAGATCCTTCTTTTCACATTTCCCTGGAATTCAAGAAATGCAAGAGATGAAAAATCAGTGGTGCTCCATGATGACTTTGATAAAATTATGATATAAAATCTTATTTTTAGATATGGGCCCGACCGTGACGGCTTTCACTAGGTTTCTCCACTTATCCTGAAAGATTAAACAAAATATAAAATTAACATCTTTTACAATAAAATATATATAGATAAATAAAAGATGAAAAGACAAAGTGTGAAATACAAAAAAAAAACACTGAGCAGAGAGAGCATGTAATGCTTGTGCTTTAGTGCAATTAATCACCAATTGGCTATACCTTTAGATGCACTGCTGTCCGAACTGATATTGGAAACCTTTCATTCTTCAACTTAGTCGATGGTCCAACCCCATGTACAGATACGCCATCCACTAGTTCTTTCACCTCTTCAGATGTCCAATGGTCATTGTTTCTTCTGCTCCCATGTTTTTGGCCTTCACTTGCAGAACGCAGGTCCCGGGAGCATGGTTCTATGTTTATCGACCATGATCCTCTCTCACGTGCACTTCTCACACGACCTCCATGCATCCAACCACTTTTTGGTATGTAATCTGAAGCACATAGCATATGTGTTTAACTACTTGAGACAATGACAAATGGTACATTGCAACAAATGGAGCCTTCATAATTCATACCTTGTAGATCGCACTTCCCCTCCTCCGCTGGTGTGGTGGTGGCCGCAAGCCTTCTACTTCTCCAGTGACAAGGCGGCGGGTACACGGCCCCTCCTCCCTCTCTCATCTCCTCCTCTTCTCCTCCTCCGCCGTTGAGAGTCGTGTTGGCAGGGGCCTCCACTTTCTCAGGCATAGGTGTTTGTATTTTCATGCCATGATCACTAGTTGGTGAATAAAATTTACATTCATTCTGCAATGGTGAAACGGATTTTCAACGCCATTTGCCACGTTCATTTGTTTTGCAAGTTTGTACTTCTGCATGTGTGAAAATCTTGCCTCATGAGTTAAACTCGCCTCCTTTGTATAAGTAGGAATGAATGCACCTGCAAGGAATCATACATTATTTGGTTTCAAAGTCGAATCATGCATAAATTGCTTGCTTGTGTAACGAAGTTTGGAATAGACCGCAACCATTAAACATCGTACCTTCCAGCCATCCGTCCAAATCATGGGGTCCTTCTAAGAGTGTTTGAAAGTCCATGGTGCCATAATCCACATGTGTTGAGTGAACTTGAATCTCCGCCTGTCATCAAGAACAACGAAATATATGTTGTTATTGTGTCGGGATTTCGACGAGCCTATTGCAAACTCTATATCCAAGTCAGATTTGATAAGATCTAAAGAGTGGGAATCGTATATGAACTATGCTTGTTGACATATATTACATCAGGTTAAAATGAAGCTTGAATGAACCATGAAGTATGCTTCAATACTTTTTATTGACCATTTTGGTTGTGCTTATACGTACTCTTCTTTCAGATAACTTACGATTTTATAGTTTAGACATATAGGCCGGCTCCACTTTTATATTGAAATATTGAAATGAAACCAAGCATCCAACTATTCATCGTCTCTAACATAGATATGTGAGCTGATCAACAAAGTTAATACCTGTTGGCTTGGAAGAGGATCGGCCAAGATGGGCGCCCAAATGTCAACATGTTCCATTGTGTCGGTGAGCAGCTACCATACTTCACTTGTCCAATATAGGAAACTGAAATAATGGCTAGAGTTAATGTGTTTATTTAATGCTACATACTGTAAATGGATTGATGAAAAAAAGAACTTGTTCCATCAAGTAATATATGCTCCCTCCGTTCCTAAATGTAAGTCTTTTTAGAGATTACACTACAAACTACATACGGATGTATATAGACATAGTTTAAAGTGTAGATTCACTCATTTTGCTCCCCATGTACTCCCTCCGTTCCTAAATATTTGTCTTTCTAGACATTTCAAATGACTACTACATACGGATGTATGTAGACATATTTTAGAGTGTAGATTCACTCACTTTGCTCCGTATGTAGTCAATTGTTGAAATGCCTAGAAAGACAAGTATTTAGGAACGGAGGGAGTAGTCAATAGTAAAATCTCTAAAAGGACTTATATTTAGGAATGGGGGGAGTACTTTACATGCATGCATGCATGATAAATCCAGATATATAGCTCATGTGTATATTTAATTAGTTGCTCGTCACGCTCCGCCACTGCACAAATTAATGTATGCGTGCAACAAATTAACTGCCCAAGCTAATTAAGCGACACCACATAAAAGCCAGTACAGATAGCTAGCAATCAGATAAACTACAGTAAGAGTACAAGGTAAATGAAGAAGTTCCTCTCTGATCTGCAGCTACATATATCCATACTAAGTATACTAGCTACTACGTACAGTGCTAATTAACTCTGGACAGAGGCCGGATGATTAACGTACCTGTGTGCTGTGTGCAACCGCGCGCGCAGGCCCCCCGGCCCCGGTGCACCGCCGTGCCGGCGGCTGGCTCCCCGCGACGGATGTCGGACTAGTATGCCGGTGTCCGTCCAAGATCCTAGTTGCAGATGGCCGGAGCAGAGCCGGCCGGCGGCCTCTGCTTGGAGACACACTCGCGGAGAGGGACCTCGTTCCTCGATCGACCTCTCCTGGATGCTAGCTACGGTGTGAGTGAGTGGCCGGCCGGGCGGTGGCGGCGCTTATATACATTGCCAAGCTAGCAACTTCCGGGAAGCTGCCCGGCCCCCGATTAGCTCACACTAAGCTCGATGGAGCTACTACGTTCCAGAAACTAAACTTCTTTTTATTACCTCCATGGATAGATGACATGATGCGATGTGAGCTTGGACTCGCAACTTCCACGAAGCTTCCTCCTCCACAAATATGAACCGGCATGGCACCATCCCCTGTTCATTTCTAGCACTACTCTAGCAGTAGCTGCGCGCCATTGATGCGGTGCAAACGGCTAGTGCAGGCTCATGGCTGTGCCTTTGGCTTAAAATGGTTACTGCCAAGCTTCACAGCAATGCATTATAGTCGACGGATGGATAGCTTTTACTCGAACAAGGGCACACACTCGTAGCTGGGCCTTTAGCTTAAAATGAGTATGCCCGTCTATTTATGCTTCTATTTGCTATCCCAAGGAACCTAACCCATGTGATGTAAAGAAGCACACGCAAGGCTAGCTTAGTCATGCCCACTGACTTGCAGCGAAATTAAACTGGGCGGCAGTGTTCTAGAATTCGTTTCAACTTTTGGCCGGTGTGGTAGCTAGGGAATTGACTGCAAGAGTGCAGAAATGTTGTTACAAAACATAACATTTTTTCAGGCTTCGGTACCAAGTAGAAAGACGGGCGCAGATATGGGTCTACATGACATGATCAAAAAGAAACTCTTAGTTGTCAGGCATGCTACTGCTCCCAACGGCGAATTAATATATGTTCTAGTTTCCAAATTTGAAAGAATACGGTTCAAGGTTACAAAGTGCATTATTACACGTTGTAGTCAGAGCGTCAGATTCATCTAAACCTAAATCGATTGTGTTTCTCATCAAAAGATTGGGATACCCATAGTGCTATCACAAACCCTTCCTCAAGGTTTGGTGGGTGGGTCGGTGTAGTTCTTGGTGAAAGCTAGAGTTTGTCCACGGGGGTGGAAGTTGGGGAAGGAGGTTGATGCTCGCGAAGATGGCGCCCAAGTGGTTCCTTTCCCTCCTTGGGACCTTACATGCATTTTCGAATTAGTCATTTCTCACTCCAGACTGCGGGCATGTTTAGTGGTGGAGGTCTGCTTTTATCGACGTCGGTGTTGGAGCTTCTCAGCAAGTTGCAGTGTTGGGTTGCCATTGTTGCCCTTTCCCTCCTTCTCACAGGAGGGGTTTTTCAAGTTAAAAATCCATTTGCCCCCTGTGTTGATTTGACCTTCTTCATTTTCTTGCTTGTCGCATCTCTACATCATTGTGATGCACATAACCTTTTTTTTATTATAGTTGATGTAAGGCAACAAGTCCAAAGACATCAACAAGTACAATACAAAGCATAAATAATCATGATCGAACCATTACATGATATGAAATTAACATCTACAACTAAATTGACTTCTTCCACAACAATGCCTCCAAGAAAGAATAAACACCCTCGTGCCGCCGTTGCCACGTCTAGTCGGAGATGTTCTGGACAAAGATTTTTACCATGATTGCCGAGACCAACCAATGGAGGTCAGTATACAACAACAAGGAGACAACACCTTCAACAAGGTAACACCTACGCCTTGAGCAAGGAGATAACACCCTCAACAGCAAGAAGTACATCACTGTTGAGCCTGACCAGTAAAGGGCAGGACAAGGTTTTCACCCCAGACATGAAGCGGTGCTCCCGTCACCATCTTGATGTTGGATCTTCCGATTGTCGCACCAGTTAGTACTAAACGTCATACTAAAAAAGCGCTAGCGTATTGATGGGACTTCTTCCCACCTTCGAACATCGCCATGACCATCGGGAAGTCGTCCATGTCGTGGCGGGGATGCGGCCGCTGCCACTCTGCACCACTGCGCGTCGACCTGCATCATCCACCATGCCACTTCCATGGTGCTAGATAATGAGAGGGAGTCGTCGGTGTGTGACCCTGCGTTGACTAAAATCTTCCTTCTAGGACACATGCCTGCACGGGCCCAGATCCGGCCTGACGATAGTTGGAAAATTCCTTTTGCACCATCAATGGGCGTCCACATCGCCGCATCTATCCGCCCCTTGCGCCGCTGTGACTAGCCCCATGACCCTTAACCTCCTTGTTGCGGTCGTCGAGAGCCACCACCCTTGTCGTAAAGACCAGTAGAGGCCGTCGATCTGAACACTGCTGCCAGTGTCGGTACGTCCAACGGAGGCCGCATGTACCTGGGAGAGACTTGTATTCCCCCTTTTTGTTTTTGGAGAACACGTCTGGTTCGTGATCTCCCCCATATTACAAGACCTTGTTACTCTGGTTTCATTCTGATAAGGCCCCCTTTTAGTCTAAAAAAACTAGAGCTGTGAACCACATTATTTGCATGGATGAGCCAATTCACGAGAGCCTGCCTTTTAATTGGAAACCTTTTACCGACCAACCACATCAATTGGATAATGTTATTATCACTTATATCCAGCCAAATGACAGTCTGATTAAAACATGCACGGTTATTGGCAGGAAGGAACGTGCGTGTGTTGGTCAGGCGTTATGAGGGACCGGTCGAACGTGCAAAACAGAGGATGATGAAAACACATGAATTTGCATAATTGCGTGTTTGATTTGAAAGAATATTAAAACACAGGAATCCTAAAAGGCATAGTCAAATTAAGGTTAAAATATATGCAAATTTAATATTAAGTTAATACTATGTTAGTTACAACATTTTACGAATGTCAACGAGAGGTTAGAGTGGATCGTAAAATTCCTTTGTTTTTCTTTAAACCAAAGGAAAATTTCCGCTTTCTCACTATGGTCCTTTCTTTTGAATCAAATATATGAATAGCATAATCATTCTAAATTTTCTATTCATGCATTCTTCCTCCACTTTCCTACGTATTAAAGAGGCCTCTTTCTAGCCGCCGCCTCCTCCTCCAAGAAAAGCTAGGGTTCGTGCCTCTCGCCGGCTCCGCCGCAGGTCCACCTCGTCTCCGGTGGCCCTAGGGCCATGGGGGCGTGGTGGATCCTGGCAAGGGCCGGCGGGAGGGCTCCGTTGTTAGTCGTTCCTTCAAAATTTGTTAGGGTTTGTGTCCTACTCAGGAAGACAAGACGGTGGCGGCTCCCTGAAGATGGAATAAAGGTCTCCCCGCCTAGTCCCCGTTCCGGTGGTGCGTCTAGCATCATTGGTGGGCGTGTGGAGGTGTGTCTCCGGCGGATCTATCCTCGGTGGATTTGCTCGGATCTGGTTGTGGTTCGTCTATGTTCGTGTGTCTTCAGGTTGGATCCTTTCGATCTACGTTATTCTTCATCAGCGGCGGTTGCTGTTCTGGTGCGCTGGTCCTACGGGGCCTTAGCACAACGACTTCTCGACTGTCTACTACAACAAGTTGTGCCCGACTCCGGCGAGGGAGGGGTGATGACGGCGGTGCGCCTTCGGCTCGTTTCAGTGATTGTAGTCGTCGCTAGGTGGTCTACGGATCTGGATGTATTTTTTATTATTTCTAGTGTTCGATGTACTGCCGTGATGGAAGATGAATAGATTGAAAGTTTTCTCGCAAAAAAAAGAGGCCCCAAATTTGTGAAAATGGGTGCGGAATCATTGGTTGTACCTTTACCTTAAAATGGTTACTTGGAAAGTTCAACACGTAACGCCCCATCACTTTCATCCGCTTTTGTTCAAAGAAGGGCAAAGACTCATGGCTAGGACTTTAGCTTAAAATGTCCATCCACATGGTTGTGTTTTTCATCCCAAGGACTCTTGCTAACGCAACCCATGTGACGTGAATAAACGCAATACTAGCTAGTACACTTATTTTGCAGCCAAAGATGGACGGCAGTGTTCTAGAATTTGTTGCAATTTTTGGGGAAATTTCACTGCAAGTGTGACATGATCACAAAGTAATATTTTTTAGGGGAACATAGTAATGGTAAGGCACCGAGCAACCTCGCTTGTTTTGACTCCCCGGGCACAAGTCAACGTATCTTCACGCCATGAAATACCTCCCCCAACCTT